CCTCTCCCCCGGGGCGGGCTCTGCAGGTGGATTTGGGCAAGGACAGCGCCGAAGGCCGTTTAACGTTTTCACAGCGGGTTTCTCAAAATTCTATAACCGGGCTTAACTTTCGTATCCGCGCTTTTCTCCAGTGAGTGTCTTTGTGCAACATCCTTTTCTGCCACTGTCGGCGCCCTCCAGCGCTCTTGGTTGGGGGGAAAGGCGGGTGTAAAGCCCAAGTATAACCGAAAAAGGAGAACAAATGGGCAATGCCCACCCACGGTGATGCCCATCCCTGAGACAAGAGAGCCCACGCACAGAGTAGCTCCCTCATTTATTTTAGAAGCCTCTCTCAAAGATTAAAACAGTGTCGAAGAAACTGAAGCTTATTTATTTACACAAATACTTCTGGGCCAGCGACTTCCACAGACTGGAGGCCTTGCATCAAAGGGAAGAGTGTGGGACACAGGCGAGGAGGAGAGGAGAAGAGGAGACCCTCAAAAGGGGTCTCTTCTGGAATCGCCTCCCTCCCTCCCTCCCCCTCGCGGCCCCAGAGAGGGACCTCTTGTCTCGGCTCGGCTCAGCGGCTGCTTCGCGGCATCCCGTCTGCCCCCAGGAGATGGCAGCTCCCGTCTTCCACGGCTGCTGGTCCTGGGCCAGGCTGAACCGACAGGAAAAGCAAAAGGGGGGTAAGTGAAACAGCAGGCAGACGACGGTGCCAGAGGAAAGCAGACAAGAGGAGACGCCAGGCAAAGAATATGCCGGTGCAGTATTATAACTGTCAATTGCGTTTTATTGTTTGACATACTGATCATTTCTAATTGTTGTGTTAACTGTCTGAGTGGTGGTGTTTGTAAGCTGCTTAGAGTCACATGACTGAAGCAGCATAAAAAGCTGCTTTTTAATAAATACCCAAACACATTCTGCAACTTTCCCCTATTTTTATATTCAACTGTATTTAAATGCTTGGATCTCTGAGGGGGGAGATCATCATTACGGCAAAAAATAAGAGAATTCCCAAAATGCTGGTGTGGCCAGGCAAGAGGGCGACCTAGAGGGACAACAGCTGAGGGCTGTTAAAAAACAGGAGCCTGGCCCTACAGGCCCATCACACTTCAGCACAATTGTTCCAAGTGTTTTAAGCGTGGGCAAATATTAGTTTTCCTTTGCAGAAAGGGTAACAAAGAAAAGGAGCAGAAGCGTGGCCCTCGATGAAAAGCCACCACTCAAATAGGGAAACGGGTTTCTGTCTCTTACCAGAAGGAACTAAAAGGCACTCAAAGATGCCCCCTGAGAAACTTTGCCCTGTGACTCAAAAAAGACCCAACAACACGGGAGCCCTCTGTCAGGCTGGGAAAGGAAGTGGGTGCTTGGATGGGCAGATCCCCCCCTCCGCCCGCTTCTTCCCCCAGTGCCTGGCAGAGCCTTTGCCAGCCCTGGAGGAAGAGGCGGCAGTGTGCCCTGCTGTTGAGGCTGTCCGAGGAGAGCCCCTCGCAGCCAGAGCCCAGCACTTGGGTGCCACCAGGCCCGGCTCCTACCTTGGTGATCAGCAGGTACCGGATGGCTCCCGGGATGGGATCCCGCACCACCTCTGTCAGCAGGTCCTCCGGGGGGCTCGCTGCCTTCACGGGAAGACCTTTAAGAAACCTAAAAGGGAAGGATGAAGGGAAAACCCTGGAGTTAGGGTCTGTGGCTGTCCTGACCCCCACAGGAGAAAAGAGACGGGGCTGGAGGAGACGAAATCAAGGGAGCAAAACCTGAAGAACTTCAGAAGAGAAAATGTGTAGCTCAGGGTTGAACAGCACTGAAGATGTGACCTAGCCGGGTAATGAAACGTTTGCGAGAAAACAACCAAGCTCAGAGAACCCCAAGGACTCCATTGAAGAAATTTCTCCTAAACAGGGTTCTTTATTTACGAATGGCTTCAAAGGAGCCAGATTCCTGAGCATCTATTTCCTAATTGGATCTGCCATTTTGGGACGTCTCCAACAAGCTTTGACAACTGCTGCCTCTTGCTATCTTTGAAGACGATTACCAAAAAATAAATACGTTACCATTGTTGCATTTGCCATATGATTTTCAACAGACGTCATTTCAGTTATTGTTTTAATAGAAAAGTGGGCTAATAGGATTATGAGATAGACAGACAGACAGACAGACAGAGATATTGCACTGGTACTACCAGAATTAATATTTTTGCACAGAGCAGTTTCCTTCCAGGGGTATTCAGGGTTGCTCTCCTGAATGCCTCTCTCTTCAAATATCAAGCAAGAAGTTGCTGCTTAGTGCAAAAAAGTCAGACACAGGAATAGCCACAAACACTGTCAGAGGGATGGCGAGCAAAGACTTCATCAGCCAATCACCTGGGAACTGACGCTGGGGAGGGGGCACGGGGTGCTACTCTGACTTCCCAAATAAGCGGAAAAGCTGGGCTCACTCACTGGCCTCCGTTATCCTTGGGGGGGAAGCTGCGTTTGACCACCTCCACGAATTCCTCCAGTGTCTCATCCAGCAGGAAAAGAACCGCGTTGGGACCCGCATCAAACGTATAGGCCACCTGCCAACAAGCCCAAATGTCAGCAAAGCCAAGCAAAGCCGAACGACCTTCTCCTGCTGTGTCTTGGGGAGGGGGAGGGAAAGACCCCGCCACATGCTTACAAAAAGTCCTCTCCCCAGTCAGACCTCCTCATCCCACCAGCTCCCGCAGGAGGGCACATTGCGGGTCCCGCCCACCAAGGACTGTCATCGGACGGCACCCAAGAGGGGAGCCTTCCTGCCATGGCCCCCGCCCTTCGGCACAGCCCCCCCCCCCGAGGTCGGACTGTCCCCAGCCTTGCTGGCCTTCAGGGAGGGCCCAAAAACAGGGCCTTGCCAACTAGCCTGGGGATCCAGGAACGTGGGTATGGGCCTGCCAAGGGGCTGTGCGGTGAGGGAAACTGAGCGTGCTCTCCCGTAATTACATTTATGTTTTTAATCATTTTTTGCTGTTTTTTTTTAAACAATTCACAATTTGGGGGTTATTTTGTTCTACTGTTTTGTTTTTAACTCTGTACGCTGCTCAGAGTCACACGGGTGATGAGAAATAGAGTTGTCCGTTTCATTTATTTTATTCTAGAATAAAATAAATAAAACGGACAACTCTATTTATTCATGTATTTCGATGTATGTGGCCACCCATCTCAACCTCGTGATTCTGGGTGGCAAGCAGCCGTTAAAAACATAAAATAACAATAACATCACAATAAATGCAACTGGGCAGCTAAGGGCTAGGGTTCAATTCGTGTTTAATACAGTAGTCTGCCTGACAGCTCTCAAGTGCAACCTGAGGGTGAACTGGCATGTCTGATCTTTTTTCCAGGGAATGTACATCTGCTTTGCTTGGTTTTTCTTCTGATGACAGGGTTGTCGCAGCTGAACTAGGTCTGGGGGATTAAGGATACGTTTACACAGATAAAATGTAGAGGGAATAATTTTTCAGAAATTTTCCCAAGCCACAATCCTTTGACCTGCTTCCTGAAGACAGGAATTGCCAGGCCTGCCCCGAGGGGCCCCTTCGCCCCACCCCTGGGCGCCACAGCTGCCCCACATACTTTGGTCTTTTCATGGTGGGCGTTAAAACGGTGCACCAGGGCAATCACTTGCTTGGAGACGTCGTTGAGGTAGAAGATGGGGGGGAAGGTGTCCAGGCAGGTGGCGTGGAACTGGTTGCTCTCCTTCATGGTGAGCTGGGCAAAGGCCTCAAAATCTCTCTGCTGGATGTGGTGGATCATCTGGGCCATGCGCTCCGGGACAACAGCCTTGGCACGGTGCTGGAAGAGGAGAACAAGGCGGGGGAGCCCCTCAGGAGAAGCATCGGGGGTGAATGAGTCTCCTGATGATCAGTGCATTACTAGACTCTGCTTGGAAGGGGAGATGCCGGCTTTCCTCCGTGAACCGAGTCCAGAGAACCGGAGGACCCTCTTCAGGGCTGACAAAAACCATGTTCTCTCCTCTGCATTCAAGCTGGTTAGTTGCAACTGCTGCAAATGAAGGCCTTTAGGTTTGCTGGGTTCTGGGCGTCTACGACGTGCCCTGGGGTTCTGGCCTTCTTCATTTGCCCATCTGCCATCGTTCTGACAGCAGAGAGTTGCTTTAAGATTATTAGCCACCTTCGCTGGAGGGGTGGGGAAACCATTTGCCTAGAATGTTAAAACCCACATGGGCTTCGGAAGGCAAAGTCCACTGGCATCTCCACAGGGGCTGATGGGGTGGAGGCTCCAACAGGGATACGTGTGGGGCTGCAGGACGGGGCAGCCGTGTCCCCTACCTTCAACAGGAGGCTGGTCTTTACGCTGTCCTGCATTCCTGCTGTACTACCCACCAGCTTCTTCTCCGCACTCACCTGCCACGGGGGAGGAAGAGAAACAATGGGGGGGGCACAGGAAGCACCAACCACTCAGCCCTAGGAACTGGGTGGCCCAAACACTGGCGGCGGCGGCAGCCCCCGGCCTCTGTAGCGAGGACCCCTCACTCACCACCAGGATCACGATCCTCAGCTCAGGCCAGTGCGTCTCTGGCACCACCTGCTGGGCCAGGCTGTCTTTGCCGTCGGCCTCGTCCCCCATCACCCACTGCACGAAGCCCCCAAACATACTCCGGCAGGCGCTTCCGGAGCCCTGGCGAGCAATTTCGGAAAGGTCTCCCTCCACGCCATACAGCCGGGCTAGGGTGGAGACTGCAAGGGAAATGAAGGATACCCAGTCCCACAGCAGAACTCTTTCAGGGGTCTGGGGGCAGAACTCCCCAAATTCTTGTCCCTGGGCAAGCTGGCTGGGGCACGTGGGAGTTGCAGTCCAGCCCAGATTACCTAACCCTGGGCTCCAAAGCCTGCTCGCCCCCCAACTGGCCATGGATACAAAGGGATCAGCAGGCTGGAGTGATCCACAGACCACTCGAAGCACGGCTGGCTGGACTTCAGTCTGCAGCCCCAGCCCAGGTTCCCTGAAACGGCTCCCTCAGGCCACCCCTCCCCTGCCACAACACGGAGGCAAGCCAGGAGGCCAGAAGCCCCAAGGACTCCCACGCCCACCCCGACAGCCTCGCTCACCCAGGCAGGCGTAGCCGGCGGCAGAAGACGCCAGTCCCGCTGCAGTGGGGAAATTGTTCTCCGAGGCGATGTGGACTTTGTAACCCTGGCTCAGGGGAGGGGGGTCCCCCTCGCCGCCACCGCTGCTCTCGCCACGGCGCTTCCTAGCCAGACGGCGGACTGCAAGAGAGATGCAAGGGAGCTGAGGCTGCCTGGGGAAAGACAGAGAAACAGACTGCCCCGCAGGGTTGGTTTGGGTCTGGGATGAACCTGCAACCGGCTGGCGAATTTCTCACAAGGACGCACGACCACAGCTAAACGTTTCCTCTGTGCTGTGTCTCATAAGCAGAACTAGAACCCCAGATACCCCCTTTTCCTACGGTGAACAGTCCGGAATTGCTGAAATACTGTAATAAAGTTTGCCCCTGTTTCTCTAGAAAGGGGCATTTAAAGAAATACAATTGCCATATATTAATAAGAACACTGTCAGAATCCTCGCAAGATTTAATCGTAGATTGTTAGGATGGCTAGTTTAGAAATTGCTTTTTACATGCTGTGGTTCTGCCACTGTAAAAGGAGGGGGGAGAAGGAATGAGAAACCGTTAAAAGCAGGTGGCTCCTTATCACAGGCGCTGGGAGGCTCAAGGTCGTACCAGCAAGGGAATCAGAAGAGCGGAAGGGGGGTGCAGGAGGGAAAAGTAAGAAAAACAACTTTTGGCGCACTTAGGCTCAGTCTTAGCAAGGATTTGGAACTGTACACTTGCTCTCAATAAATGAACTTTCTTTCGAATCAATATTGGTTGCAAGGGAAGTTACTGGATTTGGGATCAGCGGGTGGCAGATCGTTACAAACACATTGAACCAGGCAGCGTCTCTCTCTGCCATCCTAAGCAAGTTGGCTCCATGCCTGGGCTGAAACCAATTTCCAAAATCCCTGGAAATCCTTAGAGGTAAAAGGAAGGTGCTCTGCTCGTTTGAGCTCAATCATTCCAAACCAAGAATCAGAAACATTAGGAGTCCTATACAGGCTTCTCTCCCCGCCACACCCCTGCCTCCATTAAAATGCAAAATGGCTTTGGGCCATTTTGGGCATAGAGCAGCGTTTCTCAACCTCGGCAACTTTAAGGTACATGGACCTCAACTCCCAGAATTCCCCAGCCGGAATTCCCCAGCAACCTGGCTGGCTGGGGAATCTGGGAGTTGAGGTCCACGTACCTTAAAGTCGCCAGGGTTGAGAAATGCTGGCATAGAGTATAACTTCAAAGAGGCTAGGCCCCAACTTCCAGGGGGAAAGACTGCAGAGCCGTTCTTTCACCTTTTAGCCCCAAAACATCAAAAGATGTGCATTGGCCTGAATTGCCCCTACCAGGATCCTAAGCCGTGCGACCCAGTTTGTTCCCGGTGCTGCCCACCACCTCCTCCTCCACTTACTTTCCCGCAGGCAAGACTGGAGACGGGGGTGTTCGATGTCACTCGGCTCCCCGTTCAGCCAGAGGCGGTCCTGCGTGAAGTCCCGGCTGAGGGCGGCTGTGGTGGTCGTTTTCAGCTGAAACAGAACAACTCGTTCAAACCCACCATACAGAAGCCAAGGTGGGTCCCAACCTGAGCCTGGAAGATGTTAAGATCAGCTGAGAGTAACCCTACTGAGCATCCTGGGGCTTCCTTCCATGAATAAACCCTCACTGGATGATCCAGTGAAGCCCCTGGATCTCTTCTGGTAGTTTATTCATGAGGGGATCTACAACTCGCTTCCAAACATTAAACAAAGTGGCCATCACAACCATATGTTGGGATCTAAGCAGAATGAAGCAGAATAAGCAGAAATGAGCTAAGAACAGCAGCAGCAGGAGCCTTAACAATAAATGCGTTCAGTTAAAATTGTAGCAATGGCTCTTGATAAAGTAGCATCAAATGCGAAATTCAGTCTGCTTCAGCCTTCACTGTTGCTCACTAAAATAATTACCAAATCCCTTGTGCAAATAATAATAATAATAAAAAAAATCTGGTCGCTGAGGTGCAGCAAAATAAACCAGCAAATCTCTGTAGGGAAAATGTTCCTAAAATAGAGGAACCCATGTTGAAAAAGCCTGTTCCCTGCTGACAGATGGCTCTCTTCTCAGTCCCTGGAAAGTTTCAATATTTTCAAAAAGCACTGAAAGTCTTTAAGGTCTAAGGAGGAGGTGCTGAGTTTTGCCACCCTGACTTCACAATGGGGAAATACTACTTTTTTCAAAAGGGTTTTCAGAATCGCCATGTAGGAACTGGCTCAAACTATGGAATTTGGGCGATCTGTGCACTTGGAGTGGTGGGACACGCATTTTGCAGGAACGGCTCCCTAGCCTCCATCAGCACCCCAGAATATCAGTCGCTGTGAGGGCTAAATCAGAAGTAAAAGGCCTGAGACCAAACCGGTCCTTTCCAGAACACCCCACGGGTGTCACAGGGGGCACAGGCCAGAGAAGGAGTCTTAGGATTTGACCGTTGTGCTTCCCACGTGGGCGGCTTAAGTCCTACAGTTTGCAGACACTGCTTTTCTTTGCGCTAACAGTGTTTCTACTATCTGTAATAACAACTGTCTTACCAAGAGTAAGTCTGTCTTTAGCTGTGTTTGTGTTTTTTCTAGTTCTGTATGCCGGCCAGAGCCCACTGGAGTTGGGCGGCCAATACATTTCAGTAAACTAGCAAATTAGCAAAAGAACTGTGTCTTTCCATCGCTATTGCTAGCCTACTACAGCCCGGGGAAGCCCACCAGCTGCTTCCTATTTTAGAGAGCTTTTAAGGAGGTTATGAACTGTCTTAACCCAGCCGGGCTTCCTTCCACCGTGTTCATCTGGGGGCCTAAGTCGGTCACTTCTGACAGTCTGGGACTCACCTGATCTTGGTGCAGGGTGACGCTGAGGGATGAATTAATAGGCAGGATCAGCTTTTCGTCACGTTTTCCCCCTGGATGAGGAAAGAGGGAAAAGACGGCTTGGACTGGGGGCAACCTGAGCACCCCAGGCAGGTCGCTGAATCTGCAAGGAAGGGCTGGAGCGCCTCATGAATCGTGCAGGGCGGGCAGAGCTGCTCCGACCTGTTCTCTCAGCTGCCCGCAGGCAGGGCTCCAATTACGGCTTGCAGACAAAGCTGTTATTTGTGGAGCTCATTCCTCCTTCCCACCTACTGATCTGGTGGCCAGAGTGGGTGGTGGGTGTGTTGGGGAAACCAGATCTCCCACGTATTGGTGCGTTCCACAAAGAAGTGCCCGATGGAGCTGGGATCTGCTCCCCAACAAAGAGGCGCAGGACCCCACCTTCTGCCCTCAAGACGGGCACGCGGCTGCCTCCGGCCAACCAATCCTGTGCATGCGCATTTATTCACTCCCGGGATCGCAGCCCGGGAGAGCGGCTGCCCCTTATTCTTCCTTGGACCGTGTGGGTAAAAGCAGGCGGCCCTTCAGGCTACTTTACTTTGGGGAAATGCGGTCCTCGCCCCACCTGTTCGCCCCGCTTGCTCTTCCCGCCCCTCCTGCTTCGCTCCTGCTCAGGGGTCCCGGGCGCTCCTTCTCGCGGGGGGGCGACTTTCCATCGGAGGAGCCG